AGGTGAGACAAATAGAAACCTAGGAGTCCCAGCTGCCTTTTCTTTACCATATCACAAGTGACTAATACCTAGAGGGTTATTAGGTTAGAATCAGCTCTGCAACACGGTAGAACTTTTTCTTTCTGGGTTGAATGCATGTTAACTGGATTACTGGCTATGATGGGCAGTGTTTGTAACAATCACTGTTCTGTAGGCTTATGAGCTGAACAAAATGAAACTCAGTGTGTTTACTATTGCTCTTACTTGAAAAATAAAAATAATTGTTAAAAGCACAAATTGAAGTAGTAGACCCGTATCCATTGATCCAGTTCGTTCATTCAGGAGATACCAAGTTTCTGATATAGGTGAAGAACCACTTCCCATTAAGTCACTGAGTAATTTGTATGAGTATGTATGGTAGTGAAGAGAATTAGTTCTTCAAAAAGTACTTGATGGTCTTTTTTTTTTTTTTTTAAAAAAAAACCTCTTATTTTTCTACTTGGTTTCGTTGTTAATTATAGCAGGAGATAAACACTGTTCTTTGAACTTACTTTATTTCATCTGATGTAATAATGGAAACCAAAGTATTCACATTTCTCAAAATAACCTGTAACATACTCTTGAACTTCTTACTGGAATAATGTTTGATATTCTGGTATGTAAGCTGTATTTATGTAATGTTTAGAATGGCATACTAATAAATCAGTCTGTTAAGACAAGCATGTGGAGTTGTTGTTCTTTCTTGAAGTCAGTAGTATTCAGCCTTAAAAAGAGGAAATGCTGATGCTTGGTACAACACGGATGGGCCTTGAGGACGTTGTGCTAAGTGAAATGAGCCAGTTAGTCGCTAGGAGAAATACTGTGTGATCTCACTTATTTGAGGTAGCTACTTAATAACATTTATAGAGATAGAAAGTAGAAATGGTGGTGACCATGGGGCTGGGGAGAAGGAAGATGGGGAGTTTAATGGATAATTTCAGTTCTGCAAGATGGAGAGTTCTTTGGATGGTGTGGTGATGGTTGCACAACACTGTGAACGGACTTAATACCCTGAGCTGTGCTGCTTAAAAATGGTTGAGAGGGTTAAGTTTTATTTTGTTTATCAAAAGTCAATACTATTTTAAAGATTTATTTATTTGAAAGGCAGAGTTTGTAGAGAGGGAGAGGGAGATCTTTCATCTGCTGGTTCACTTCCCAAATGGCCACAAGAGCCAGGGCTGGGCCAATCCAGCTGGGAGCCAGGAGCCAGGAGCTTCTTCCAGGTCTTCCACGTGAAAGCAGGGGCCCAAGGACTTGGGCCATTTTCCACTGCTTTCCCAGGTGCATTAGCAGGGAATTGGATTGGAAGTAGAGCAGCCGGGACTTGAACTAGTGCCCATATGGGATGCTGGCTCTGCAGGTGACAGCTTTACTCACTATGCCACGGTGCTGACCCCCCCGTACTATTATTCTTAGTGGGTATCTGGCTAAATAGGTACTTCCATGAACATGTCACTGCCTGGTTCTGAACTGTATACACACAATTATAGAAATCCCTGTAAGGGATGGTGCTGTGGTGTAGCCAGTAAAGCCACGGCCTATGACCCTGGCTTCCCATGTGGCCGCCAGTACATGTCCTGGCTGCTCCACTTCTGATCCAGCTCCTTGCTAATGTCCTGGGAAAAGCAGCAGCAGATGGCGCAAGTGTTTGGGTTCCTGCCACCCGCGTGGGAAACTGGAAGAAGCTCCTGACTCCTGGCTTCATCCTGGCCCAGTACTCACCATTGTGACCATCTTGGAGAGTGAACCAGTAGATTGAGGATCTCTCTCCCTTCCTGTCTCCTACTCTCTATAACTCCAATAAATAAATAAATCTTTTTTAAAACAAAGCCCTGGATTTGGGGTGGGCATTTGGCACAGTGGTTAGGATGCCACTTGAGTTGCCCACATCCCACATGGGGAGTACCTGGGTTCAAGTTCCAGCCCAAATTTGATGCCAATTTCCTGCTAATGTGTACCCAGGAGGCTTGAATGTTTGGGTCCCTGCTGTCTACATGGGAGACCCAGATTAAGTTTCTGTCTCCTCCAACAACACATGGAAGATCTGTCCCTCTCTCTCAAAGTGGGAAAAATGACCCCTGGATTTTATTCCTGCTGATAATACAATTGAACTGTCAAAGCAGAAAAATGTAGTTAAATCCTTTGGAGGTACTTACAAATGAAGAGAAAGACCTTTCCTATCCTCAAGGAACATATAAGTTATTCGGAGAAGGGAGATATGATTAAGATTAATACAGTAAGACATTTATAAATAGCTTTCATAACAGAAAATGGGTTAATCTGACAAGAGGTTGTTCTGAATACTGTATATGTGGTACAGGGGAGGACATGTTAGGGTCCTTTAGATAAACTCCAAAGCAGTAGGTAAGTGGCAGAGGCAAAAGCATGGAGGTGTGGCTAATGAGCCTCCCAGAAATTACCGTGAGTCTGGTTAGAATTAAGCCTGCACCTGCTGGAAGGAAACATTGGCAAGGGGAGTACATGGGTGTCTGCTTAGTAACATTCATTTCCCACGGTGCCGGGCATTGTACCTTATGCTTCAGATATTTTCTTATTTAGTGTTCGCATTTGTCTTCTAAGGCAGACAGGTAAGTAATTTGACTAAAGTTCTCCAATAGTGATATAGCTAAAGCACAAACTCAGGTCTGTTACAGTGGTTTGCCCAGGATTCGCCTACTCTTAGGACCCCCAACATGTGATACTTAATTAATTAATTAATTTTTTGCCAGGCAAGGGGGGCAGTGGGGGGGGGGGGGCCGGGGGGAAGGTCTTTCCTTTGCAATTGGTCCCCCTCCAAATGGCCGCCGCGGGCCCGCGCGCTGCGGCCGGCGCACCGCGCTGATCCGATGGCAGGAGCCAGGAGCCAGGTGCTTTTCCTGGTCTCCCATGGGGTGCAGGGCCCAAGCACCTGGGCCATCCTCCACTGCACTCCCTGGCCACAGCAGAGGGCTGGCCTGGAAGAGGGGCAACCGGGACAGAATCCGCCGCCCCAACCGGGACTAGAACCCGGTGTGCCGGCGCCGCTAGGCGGAGGATTAGCCTAGTGAGCCGCGGCGCCGGCCTCCAAGGATTTTTTTTAACGATCATGACCTCAAGGCTATTAGGTAAGCTTTGTCATGAGATAGGTTAAGATAGGAAGCTGAAGTTAGAGCTATTGTTTAGACCCAGAGAAATCTGTATTCAGCAGATCTTGTATGGAGTTTGCTTCTATATTTTTTTTTAATATTGATTTATTTGAAAGAGCTAGAGAGACATCCTCCATCTTCTGGTCCACTCCCAAGATGACTGCAGTGGCTGAGGCTGTGTCAGGCCTAAGCCAGGAGCTCCCACGTGGGCGTAGGGGCCCAAGCACTTGGGCCATCCTCCACTGCTCCCCCAGGGGCGTCAGCATGGAGCTGGATCAGAAGTGGAGCAACTCAGCTCTTGGGTGCCTAGCTATTCTGGTATGCAGCTAAGTTTGAAAAACAATGACTTAATATTTTTTGTCTGCATCATAGTTCCATAGTGGCTTAGATATTTGGATGTCTCTCAAAAGTCCATGTGGTAAAGGCTTTGTCCCCAAAGTCCTATGCTAATAGCACTAAGAGGGTAGAACCTTAATTTAATTATGGTGTTTCAAGGTGGAGCCCCCATGACTGAATCGTGGTGGCTTTCTAAGACACATGCTTCCACATCTGGACTCTGCCACAAGACCACTGCTGGACACCACAGCTTTGGGGCCTGCTGGATCTTGCGCTATGAACCTCCAGAACTGTGAGCCAAAAATAAACCTTTTCTCTTCATAAAGGCAGTTTTCTCACTTAATCGTAGAAGCAGTAAACGCTCTTCCTTTTGCAGATGCTTTCGGAGCACTTACTTACGTGCCAGACGACGTACTGGGGAGTCAGATCAGACCTGTAGCATGACTGAGCGCTACAGGGAAAGAACGAGAACCTGAACTGTGCTGTTTTCAAGGGCAGTTCAGGGAGGCCACGTCTGAGCTGGAGATAATAATATTTCTTCAGCCTGGTATATATATATATATATATATATATATATATATATATATATATTTTTTTTTTTTTTTTTTGACAGGCAGAGTGGACAGTGAGAGAGAGAGACAGAGAGAAAGGTCTTCCTTTGCTGTTGGTTCACCCTCCAATGGCCGCCGCGGCCGGCGCGCTGCAGCCGGCGCACCGCGCTGATCCAATGGCAGGAGCCAGGAGCCAGGTGCTTTTCCTGGTCTCCCATGGGGTGCAGGGCACAAGCACCTGGGCCATCCTCCACTGCACTCCCTGGCCACAGCAGAGAGCTGGCCTGGAAGAGGGGCAACTGGGACAGAATCCGGCGCCCCGACCGGGACTAGAACCAGGTGTGCCGGCGCCGCTATGTGGAGGATTAGCCTAGTGAGTCGCGGCGCCGGCCTAGCCTGGTATATTATTAACATTCTTAAGTCAGAGGTGTTTATTTTGAAGGTGTGTGTTTTGAAGTTACCATGTGGTAACTGTGGCTGAAAAATTTTTAAGAAGCAAGGCATGAAAATGGGTAAATTTGATACTAGTATGTTCAGATTTTAAGGGTTGTTCTGGGCTGGAACTAGTCTTAAAAGTTATGAAGGTTTTATTCTGTAAGCACTTACTGAGAATGCTAGGTGCTGGGAATGCAATGGTAGGCAAAACCTAATAGTGAGTATCTTCCCTTGAACAGCTCATCCTGATACAGTATGATGTAAGACAAGAGTTGGTTACACTGAGAAGTAGTATGAAGAGAAAAATTTTAGGCGGAGTAATAGGAGACCTTCTGTCTGCAGAAGTCAGCTGAGAAAGGTGTTCCAGCTTCAGCAGGATGTGTGAAGACCCTAGTGTTAGGGGTGCCTTGTGTGTGCCTTAAATGACCTTCCATTGTGGAGGGGTAGGAGGAGGAATGTACCAGCAGGAATCCACCCACAGGGTTAAGTGCAGAGGGTGAGTGGGAATGGAGCTGTGATCCAGTTTACTCAGGCATCATTTGACAAAAACTTTATTGGAGGAGAGGTGGGAAGAACATCCAGTAGGGGCAGCAAGAACAGGTTAACAACTGCTGGGGGTTGCAGTTTGTGGTTCAGAAAGCAAGAAGCCTGGTTCCAAAGAGGTGTGGCTTCCACAGTCCTGGTCTGCAGTTCTCGGCCTGCAGGCAATTTAGGAAATGGTAATCCTTAAGAAGAAAGGGACGATACTGAAATGGAACTTGACCTAAGATCTCTGTAGTCTTGAAAATAGCACATGGTTTGCTGTAAGTCCTGAAGCAGTTCAGTCTCTTTGTTTAGCTGCTGCAGTCTTTCTTCAGATTCATCAATTTTATTCTCTATTGCTTTGGGGGAAAAAAGGTAATTTCATATTATTCATTAGTTTCATTAGAAACATGCTGTTTTTTACTCATTTCACTTGCAAGCACATAGTCCTTGTGATACCTGTGCCTTAAAAGAACCTAGTCTTATGAGCCCAAAGTGGTTCTTTTATACCTTTGCTCCCTCTTTCTTCCACTTCACAGAATTCTAGTATTTATCACACATGAAGCTTGTGATTAAATCTTTGTGACTTTTTATACATTTATAGCAGAACACCAGCCCGTCTTGTGTAACTTTGAGAACTTAATGCTGTATAGCCTTCATACTACTGTATGTGACATGATGACTGGACATGATTGGAAAGAGAATGTGGCTGAAATACCAAGGACTGGGCCTGTCTTTCATAAACTGCATCCTATTTGTAAGTCACATAAATGCTTTTGGTGTAATTCAGATATAGGAAGACTTAGGTGGAAATTTAGAAGATACTTTAATTGGGATTTATGAATGAAGAGTACTCAGTGGCAATGTGACTTTTTGGAAAAGTTTAGAAATTGAAGTCTGTTTAGAAGACCCATCTTTCTTCAGACAATGGTGTGACCTGTTCTAAACATGTAACTTTTATGTGAAAGGAAAGATGGGTATGCCCTGAAAACAAAGCTTTCTAGAAAGACTCCAAAGACTGGCTTTTAAAACCAGTGTGGTTATTCTCAGTAGCAGCCATCCTCAAGAGGCTTTCTTAAGAGGTCTATTTGGGAAATAATTGTAAAGGTGTCTTTTTGGATAATAAATTCAAGTAGACATGTGATACAGAGAACCAGTATGTGTATGTTCAGACAGGGTCGACCTGTTGCCCTGATACCACTGCTCACACACACACGGAACAGTGTGCAGGTGCTGAGCTGTGCAACACCAGGAGAGCCGCTCCTACAAATTCTGCTGAGTCGGGCCTCCACCCCTGTCTAGCAAAGGCCGGCCACAGTGCACAGCCTGCCCTTCTGGGTGTGGCAGTCTTGAGAAGTCACATCAGATTCGTAATTAAGTGGAGATTTAGCCTGTCTTGATGGAGGACTTGATAAATAGTTGATATTTTACCTAAAAGTTGCCTCCCTCTCTCCAACCCACACGTTATTTACTTTTTTTTAAAAGATTTATTTATTTGAAAGAGTTAAAGAGGTCTTCCACCTTCAAATGGCCGCACAGCCAGAGTTGGGCCAATCAGGAGCCAGGAGCTTCTTCCAGGTCTCCCATGCGGGCGCAGGGGCCCAAGGACTTGAGCCATCTTCTACTGCTTTCCCAGGCCACAACAGAGAGCTGGATCAGAAGTATATGCTGGCATTGCAGCATATACTCATTATGCCAGCGTGCCGGCCCCAGGTTTTCTTTTTCCACAAAAATGTCTTCGTTACTTTGTTTTGTGTCCCTGCCTCCCCCACCCCCAACCCCCATGAAGTTCAGCATCAGTCATCACTGTGCTCTCCACATAAGAGATGAGATGTGAAGGTGAATGTTGGGAGAGAGATTTCACCAGCGGTGGGGAGGCCAGCTGCGGGATCAGCAGCAGCCTGCGCGCCCTCGCCGCACCAGCTCCTGTCTGTGGCCACACAGGGACCAAAATACCTTGTTTTGAATTCAACATTTTCTACTTTATGCATTTTTTCTGACTATAGAAGTATTTGTGCTATGCAGAAAGTTTGGATCATTTAGCAATAAAAGAACAGAGTAAAGAAATGACTATTCTCCAACTCTCCACAGATCACTATTTCTGTTGGGTACACTTTTTTTCTGAATGTGTATGTGTGCATGTGTGTGTCATTCTGTTTTTGTGATAGGCTTTTCATGTAATGAGCATTATTCTAAAGTATTTTTACAGCTTCTATGTTATTTCAACCTATATGACAATATTTCTAAATTATGCTGCTTAGTTATTTTGTAACTCATATACCTGCTTGAAAATCTATAATTGTATCTTCAAACAATCTACAGTCAAAAAGTGAAGTCGCGATTTCTTCATATTCTGGAAGGAGGAAAACATTTTCAGTATTAATTCATGTAGGTAGAAACACTTCAGAAAATAACCCCAAACAGGGAGAAGTGAAGAGTGGCCCTTCAGAGTCAGACCGCAGTGGGAGCTGCACCACTGCCCCAGAGCCTCCAGCAGGGGGTTCCAGCCAGCCCCGCCGGTGAGACAATACAAGAACACAGAGCTTTCAGGAACATTTACTCTTAATATCACTTTCTAGCTTTGTCCTATGAAAATAATCCCTTTGCTAACATGCATTTTATAGGACTGCCTACAATCCAGACCATCACATTCTCTTGTGAGACATATTTCTAATGTTTCTGATTATGCTAGAGGCTGTAAGGCTAAGGAGCTATAGATCTGCACAGACAAATGGAACTTTAGCTTCCCAAAGAGCTCTTAAAGAAATGTGGGGCCAGTTACGGCATACTGGGTAAAGTTCCTGTGATGTTGGCATCCCATCTGGGTGCCAGTGTGAGTCCTGGCTGCTCCACTACTGGTCCAGCTTCATGCTAATATGCCTGGAAGATGGCCCAAGTGTTCGGGCCTCTGCACCCAGGTGGGAGACCTGGAGGAAGCTCCTGGCTTTGGCCTGGCCATCTGAGAAGTGAACCAGCAGATGGAAGCTCACTCACTTGCGCACATTCTCTTTTTCTCTTTCTCTCTCTCTCTCTCTCACTAAAAATTCACATTTGACTAAACCAAACTGATCAAAACATTAAAATTGTATCTTCTATGTACTCTTCCATATATTCTTATTAAAAAAAGGACTCTTTATTAGAATCGAATGAATTAAAACACTATTTTGGATCTTGCAGGGCAGGGAATGGGTTCAGGTGTGTGGCCACATCCAGTTCTGAACGTGCTGGTTCTCAGCTGTCAAGCCACTGTGCGCTGCCAGGAAGGGCATCCTGACTCTTGGGGCATCAGACACTTGGGACTAAACTCCTGAATCTGAACCACCCACATCCTGTTCACTTACAAAAGACAGTAGGTCTAGTAAAATGATACAGTGATGGTTATTAAGGAATGATGAAAAGACAAAAGCGTAGAAAGAAAATATTTTTCCTGTTTGTTTTGTATAGGTCTCTGAGAAATTTTTTTTTTTTAAAGACATTTATTTGAAAGGTGGAGCTGAGCGAGAGAAGAGACAGATCTTCCATTCGCTGATTCATTCCCCAAATGGAAGAATCCTGGGCCAGGCCGAAGCCAGGAGCTTCATCTGGATCTCCCACATGGGTGGCAGGGGGCCCAGGGACTTGGGCCATTCTCCAGTGCTTTCCCAGGTGCATCGGGGAGCTGGATCAGAAGTGGAGCAGCTGGGACTTAATCTGGTGCCCATATGGGATGCCGGCATGGCAGGGGGAGGCTTAACCTGTTACACCACAGTGCCAGTCCCTCTGAGAAATTTCTGTTCTGAGTGATTTGTTTTATCAGTACCTGATTCTGAAGCAGTCTCATCCCCGAGTCTTTCTCGAATCAAATGTAGTTTGTCTAACAGTTCTTCAAATAAGTCATCAAGAAGTCCTGCTTCCTTACATTTCCTAAGAAAATCAATCTTTAAAATTGCATCTAAAAATAAGAAAACATTTTTTAGAAGGAAATGGTCTTAAGGCAGCTCATCATAAATCACTTGCTAAGACACTGACTAGTGGTGGATGGGAATAATCAGTAAATCACACAGAAATGCACCTTTACCTTTTAATTGTAATTTCATCATTTTCTTCTAGTTCAATAAATATTACAAAATGAAAATAAAACTTAAGAATTTTCTAGAATTTAGCTTTAAATATTTGAGATGCCATTTTTTTCTGTCACAGTTACATGTTATGCAGTATGTATTTCCTTAAAGAAGAGAAAGCCGCACTTCCTGGGGTCACACCGTTGGATTCTGAGCTCAGACGGGCCTGCCCATCCTAAGTGCATCCTTTCTGAATACTGAAGAATGACAGACCATTCCAACCCAGGTTATTCTGATAATGCTGAGGTTAGGACAGAGCAGATACTTATGATAACACTTACACTCAACCACAAGTCTAAAAGAATAAAGGATGCTGCTATGGTTTGAGTTAGTTTGGGTATTCCCCAAGAACCCATGTGTCAGAGGTCACCAGTCTTATGGTAATGGCGAATGGATTAGAGGTAGAAACAAAATCTAATTTCGGTATCTGAAGGCGGGGCCTTCGGGAAGCCATTGGAGTGGGTTAAGCTTGCTGGTTAAACTGAAATCGGGGCGGCTTTATCAGGAGACCACGCATCCATAGGTGATGAATGCCCCTTCCTGGCATGCTTTGTGGTCCTGTTGCCACATGCATTCCACCGTCCATGGCTCATCTGCTGTCAGACCACGGGGCACCTGGTCTTGGGACTAGGAGCCTCCAAAACCGTGAGCTGCAGTGACTTTCTTTCCCAGGAAGCTTTGCAGGTGTTGACAGTAATAAACTTGCCTTAACACAGAATGTACTGAAGAGTACCCTGTTACTGTAATTTGAAACACGCACAGGTAGCGTATGGATGTTTGGCCTAGCGGGTAGGACCCTGGTTTCCCTTATAGAGGGTACTTAGGTTTGATTTCTGGCTGCAGCTCCTGACTCTGGGTTCCTACCCATGCATACCCTGAGAGGCAGCAGGTAACTTCTCAAGTAGTTGGGTTCCTGCCTCCTACTTGGGAGATCTGTATTGGGTTTCTGGCTTCAGCCCCAGCCCAGCCCTGCAGTTGTGGTCATTGGGGAAGTAAGCCAATGGGTGTCAGTCTGTCTCTCTGCCTCCCAAATAAATTAAAGAAAAATGTGTCTGTCCACTTTTGGAATGGGAATGTATACCTGTAGGTGTCCCAGCACTATATTCTGGAAGTATGTAACTGACACAGCAGGAAAGTTTGCCCTGAGTCTCAGATGAGACTTTGGACTTCTGAATTAATGTTGGACTGAGTTAAGACTCTGGGATGTGTGGGGGTGGAATGGATGTGTTTTGCATTGTGAAGTGACTATCAATCTTTGAATGTTCATTTGGGTGTCCCCACAAAGGCACTTGTGTCTTACGTTAAAGAACTAAGGGCAGGAAGGGTGGAACTTAATCCCAGTGAACCGACAGGGGCGAAGCGTCTTACTGTATCCTGGTGGCTCCATGTGCAGGCCACACCTACCCAGGGGAGGAACGTGCTCCCTCCCTCTGCTTCCTTCCTCACCTCACGACCCCCACACAGGTGCCACCAGCCACCACCCTCCACCCGCTGCCAGACCCGTGGGGACTGCCCTGCAATAAACCTTTGTAAGCAGCTTCTCTCCCATTTTGCTTCTAGTGACAAAAAACTGACACCAACTTTGAAATCTGTTAGAGTCGCTGCGATAGCAAACCTGGGTGTCTGCCGGACTCTTCTTCTCCTTGTCTCGCGAGTCTAGGGAACATCACTGTTCCAGGTGGCTGGAAGGAAAGGAAGTCCAGGTTACTTTCCACGGACCGCACTGACGACGGCATGGGCTGTCACACGAGACGAAAGCCCGTCTCTGCCACGTGTAAGTGAACGACGGGCCTACAGTGAACGTCGCACTCCGCGCTCGGCTGCAGCCGCAGATACCGACCTATTCGCAAGCACGAAGGGTCCGAGAAGCAGCTCCGGTGCCAACGGCAGGAAGCAGCAGCTACTGACTCGTATTATTAGCTTAGGTAAATACTGTTTTATGTCCCCTAAAGAGTTTGATGTTTTATACATAATTATAAAGTTTTCTAGGTTAAGAGTTAGAAACTGGGTCAGGTATGGGTCATGTAGCTGAGGAGTATGTGGCTTCAAGAGGCCTGCCTGCACCTGCCACACGTTTTAAGACCCGAGACACCCTGTGGGGTCAGATGCTGTCGCTAACTTACACCAGAATGTGCTTTATAGGAATGCCACCTGCTGACAGTCATGGGTTCAGAACGTCCAGCTGCTCCACACGAATCTTGTTACGGTTCTATCCCCTGGGACCTATCTCAGAGCTCCCGAGGATGGGACTCCTCCCCAGGAGAAGTCTCGGCTGCATCTAGGCAGATGTGCTCTGAATGCGTCTGTCCACAAATGGCCTGGAAAGGATATTTTGCAGGAAGTTCAGGATGGTTTCATTAAGACTCTGTATGAAGAAATTTAAGTCAAATTACCGGTACATGGGGATTCTCCCAGTTGGCTGTACAGAGAGGCCCTGCATTCATATCACCCTCACAGAGGAGAACCAAAATAAAACCTGCTAACTGCATTTTGGGGTGAGTTCCCAAGGGGAAACACAAGAACTTGGCAAAGAAGACAGAAGAACCGCCTCCGGACACAGCTACTTCGGATGGAGGCATACAGAGAGGAACAGAGTGCACCAGAAACCCCAACTTGAGCTCCATGGCTGAGGGGCGTCCCCACTGCGGGGGGAAAGATAAACAGGAGGGCCTTGCCAGACGCCAGCTCTCGGGGAGGGCCCCAGTCATCACGGGCTTGGAGGCCAGCAAGGGAACCTCCAGGACCACGTGTGGTCGGTTGGCTTCAGAGACGTGTCTCTCATCTCCTCAGCCCTCAGAGCACGGGCTGCAGCAGCGACACACCATCCTACCAGTCACCGGCAGAATCCATTCTGCCCTAGGGGACAGCATCACCAGGAAAAAGGAATGCAGCCTCACAAAACCAACGAGCGCCAACAGTAAGTAACTGCACTTCCTTAGCCCAGAGCCCTGCAGACGTGGAGGTATCCCCACCAACACCAGCACTAGTTACTGCAGAGGGCTGTGCCCCAGCTCTGCACGGCCAGCTCAGACGGAGGCTGGCTCTGCTGCAGCTCCATGCCCACGCCTGCCCTGGTGTTGTAGGGAGGCTGCACATGTCTACCCCAGACGTGGGACTTGCACTGCAGTGACTCCGGGACCCACACAACCGTGCTGAATCTGAGAGGAACTCCTGCTGCCACTGCTATCGATTTTGGTGAGGAAGATACAGGAAGAGTGAAGGTGAGTGTCCAACTGGCACGAAAGCCAACCCAGCCACCCAAACTGTTACTTGAAGATGCACCTTCAAGAAAAAACTTCAAGCCATGAAAGCCACGCTTTACAAGTGACGACTAATCAGCCAGAGGTTCAATATCAGCTTAGGGACAGGGAAGTACGACAAAGCCAGGCAGTTCCATACTCCCAGAAGGAATACAATAGAACAGTCTTCTGAAACACCTGATAGATACTTCAAAAGAATGCCCATCAGAGGTACAATACAGATAAATAAAATCAGGAAATAATTGCAAGATGTGAATGCATAATTCAGCAGAGAGATCTTGGAAAGAACCAAACAGAAATCTTAGAAATGAACTCAATATATCAAATAAGCACAAGTGAAAGCCTCAACAACAGACTAGATCAAGTTCAGGTGTTCTTTCTTCTGCTTAAAGAAAGGTCTTTTGAAATATCCCTGTCAGACTAAGAAAATAAGAAGGAAAAAGAATGAGGATGGGGGCTGGTGCTGTGGCATAGCAGGTAAAGACGCCACATGGTGCCAGCATCCATATGGGCACTGGTTCAAGTTCAGGTTGCTCTACTTGCAATGATTAAGAGATCAATTAAACAGGAAGATGAAACTATTATTTATGCAGCTAATTATAGGGCACCTCGCTATTTTAAAGGAATGTTAAGGGATTTAAAGAGAGACTTAGACTCCAATACAATAGTAATAGAGGACTTCAATACTCCACTTTCAGCAATGGACAGATCAACCAGACAGAAAATCAGCAAGGAAACAGCAGATTTAATCGACACTAAAGACCAAATGGATTTAACAGGTATCTACAGTACTTTTCATCCTAGAGTTGCAGAATACATTCTTCCCAGCAGCGCATAAGATTTCTCTAGGATTGACCACGTACTAGGCCATAAAGCAAGTCTCAGCAAATTCAAAAGAATCAAAATCATACCATCCATCTTTCCTGACCACAATGGAATGAAGCTGGAAATCAGCAAATCAAGAACCTCTAGACAAATGGAAACACATGGAGACTGAACAATATGCTCCTGGGTGAACAGTGGGTCACTGAAGAAATCAAAAGAGAAATCAAAATTTCTGGAAGCAAATGAAGACAAAATACAACACTTCAAAACTTATGCGATTCAGCAAAAGCAATGTTAAAAGTTTATAGCAATTGGGCCGGCGCCGTGGCTCACTAGGCTAATCCTCCGCCTAGCGGCGCCGGCACACCGGGTTCTAGTCTCGGTTGGGGCGCCGGATTCTGTCCTGGTTGCCCCTCTTCCAGGCCAGCTCTCTGCTGTGGCCAGGGAGTGCAGTGGAGGATGGCCCAGGTGCTTGGGCCCTGCACCCCATGGGAGACCAGGAAAAGCACCTGGCTCCTGCCATCGGATCAGCGCGGTGTGCTGGCCGCAGCGCGCTGGCCGCGGCGGCCATTGGAGGGTAAACCAACGGCAAAGGAAGACCTTTCTCTCTGTCTCTCTCTCTCACTGTCCACTCTGCCTGTCAAAAAAAAAAAAAAAAAAGTTTATAGCAATTGGAGCCTACATCAAGAAACTAGAAAGTTACCAAATAAATGAGCTATCAGTGCATCTCAAGGACCTATAAAAACAACAGCAAATCAAACTCAAATCTAGTAGGAGAAAGAAATTAAAATTAGGGAATAAACAAAATTGAAACCAAAAAAATTCAAAACATCAAAACGAGCTGGTTTTTGAAAACATAAAATTGACACACCACTGGCACAACCAACCAAAAAAACAGGGAGAAGATCCAAATCAATAATATTAGAGATAAAAAAGGAAATGTAACAACATGCACCACCAAAATAATTTTAAAAAATCAGAAATTACTATAAAGAAGTGTATGCCGGGGCCGGCGCTGTGGCACCGCGGGTTGATGCCCTGGCCTGAAGCGCCAGCATCACATATGGGTGGTGGTTCAAGACGCGGCTGCTCCTCTTCCTATCCAGCTCTCTGCTATTGCCTGGGAAAGCAGTAGAAGATGGTCCAAGTGCTTGGGCCCCTACACCTGAATGGGAGACCCGGAAGAAGCTCCTGGCTCCTGGCTTCGGATCGGCGCAGTTCCGGCCGTTGCAGTCCATGGGAAGTGGACCAGTGGATGGAAGACCTCTCTCTCTCTGCCTCTCCTCTCTCTGTGTAACTCTTTTAAATAATAAATAAAATAAATCTTAAAAAAGAAGTGTATGCCAATAAACCAGGAAACCTAGAAGAAACAGCCAGATTCCTGGACACACACAACCTACTTAACTGAGCCATAAAGACACAGAAAACCTAAACAGACCCATAACTGAGACAGAAATTGAATCAGTAATAAAGACTCTCCCAACAAAGAAAAGCACAGGACTGGATGGCTTCACTGCTGAATTCCACCAGACATTTAAAGAAGAACTAAATCCAATTCTTCTCAAGTAATTCAAAACAATTGAAAGGGAGGGAATTCTTCCAAATTTTTTCTATGAAGCCAACTTCACCTCGAATCTGAGAAAGATACAACAGAGAAATAGAACTGCAGACCAATTTGCCTGATGAACATAGACACAAAAATCCTCAACAAAATTCTACCCAATCAAATCCAACAACACATCAGATAGATCATTCACCCATTCACCCAGACCAAGAGGGATATATCCCTGGTATGCAGGGATGGTTCAACATTCGCAAATCAATCAATGTGATACACCACATTAACAACTGCTGAAAAAAAAAGCCATCTGATTATCAACAGATGCAGAGAAAGCATTTGATAAAATACATTTTTTTCATGATGAAAACCTTAAGCAAATTGGGTATAGAAGGCAATTTATGTCAACCCATGGCCAGTGTCCTATTGAATGGGGAAAAACTGGAACCAGGCAAGGATGCCCTCACCACTGCTTCTCATAGTCCTGAAAGTTTTAGCCAAAGGCATTAGGCTAGAAAATGAAAGAAAAGGGGTACAAATTGGGATGGAGGAAGTCAAACTATCCCTATATGCAGATGACATGATTCTGTACATATAGGATCCAAGAGACTATTGGAACTCATAGAAGTGTTTGGTAAATTGGCAGAATATAAAATCAACACACAAAAATCAATAGCCTTTGTATACACAGTCAACACCATGGCCGAATGCCATGGCCGAGAATGAAGATCAAGCCTATTCACAATAGCAACCAAAATAATCAAACACCTTGGAATAAATTTAACCAAGCATGTCAAAGGTCTCTATGATGAGAATTACAAAACATTAAGGAAGTAGAAGAAGACACAAAAAAATGGAAAAATCTTCCATGTTCATGGATTAGACGAATCAATATCATCAAAATGTCTATTATTGAAAGCAATTTACAGATTGAAGGTGATAATAATCAAAATACCAAGGACATTTTTCTCAGACTTATAAAAAAATTATGCTGAAATTCATATGGCAATGAACGATACCCCGAATAGCTAAAGCAATCTCATACAACAAAAACCAAGCCAAGGGGCCGACGCTGTGGTACAGCAGGTAGAGCTGTGGCCTGCAGTGCCGGCATCCCATATGGGTGCTGGTTCAAGTCCTGGCTGATCCATTTCTGATCCAGATCTCTGCTAATGGCCTGGGAAAGCAGCTGAGGACCCAAGGTCTTAGACCCCTGCATGTATATGGGAGACCTGGATGAAGCTCCAGGCTCCTGGCTATGGCCTAGCCCAGGCCTGGCTGTTGCAACCATTTAGGGAGTGAACCAACAGATGGAAGATCTTTCTCTGCTTATCCCTCTCTCTCTGTAACCGTGACTTCCAAATAAATAAATACATCTTAAAAACACACACACACAAGAAGATGGCCCAAGTCTTTGGGCCCCTACAGCTGCCTGTGAGACCCAGAAGAAAATCCTGGCTCCTGGCTTCAGATTGCCCCAGCTCTGGCCACTGTTGCCATTTGAGGAGTGAAGCAGCAGTTGGAAGACATCTCTCTCTCTCTAACTCTGAATTTCAAATAAATAAATTTTTTTTTTGACAGGCAGAGTGGACAGTGAGAGAGAGAGACAGAGAGAAAGGTCTTCCTTTGCCGTCGGGTCCACCCTCCAATGGCCGCTGCCGGGCCGCGCACCGCGGCTGATCCGAAGGCAGGAACCAGGTACTTCTCCCTGGTCTCCCATGGGGGTGCAGGGGCCCAAGGACTTGGGCCATCCTCCACTGCACTCCCTGGCCACAGCAGAGAGCTGGCCTGGAAGAGGGGCAACCGGCAAAGAATCCGGCGCCCTGACCGGGACTAGAACCCGGTGTGCCGGCCCC